AGAGACTTGAGCTCGAGCTCGAGTCAAAAGCTCAAAAGTTCGATCTCGGTTACCTTTGATTGCAAGTCTCTTAAGCAATTGAGGTCTCCCTCAATTGCCGAAGTACCAAATTGAGGTCTCTCTTAGTTGTTGAAGTGTCGAGTTGAGATTTCCCTAGCAGGCGAGGTGTCGAGCTAAGGTCTCCCTTAGTTGACAAGGTGCCGAGATGAGGACTCCCTCAGTTGTCGATGTGCTAAGCTGAGATCTCCCTCAGTGACCGAGGTGCTGAGCCGTGGTGTCCCTTAGTGGTCGAGGTGTCTTGTAGCTCAAGCTCGATTCAAATTAGAGACTTGAGCTTGAGCTTGAGCTTGAGCTTAGAAGTTCGAGCTCGGCTCGGCTCGAATTTGACTACCTTTGATTGCAAGTCTCCTATCAGTCGAGGTGCCGAGCTGAGGTCTCTCTCAATTGGAGAGAGAGTGACATTCTTGTAATTTATAAGGAGAGAGAGAGAGAGAGAGAGTGTGGTATTCTTGTAATTTGAAAAAAAAAAGCAAGAGAGAGAGAATTGGCGGAAGAGAATAATAGCATTCTTGTAATTTCTATAAAAACAAAAGCAAAACATAATGTTAGATTCTATTTCCCTCATCCTCATGCCTTCTTAGGTACACATTTCAACTTAATATATTTATATTAAGATATAGATTTTTATGATTAAAATAGTCATTATTTTTACTTGAAAAATAAAATAACATGGATAAATGTAGTATTTCCCAAAAAAATTTACCCAAATAACTAGATTTACCCGACAATTGAATGGGGCCTAAAAATAATCTTGGGCAAAACGTAACCTAGAATTTTGCATATCTTCTTTCTCTCTTCTTATCATAGAATTTAGCATTTTACAGGGTTTGCATCGTAACTCGGAAAAACAGTCTATATAGTTTCAGAAGCAACCATTAGATAATTAAAGCTCAATTGGTTTATTTTGGTAGCAAATCAGACTTATTGTCTCTGGAATTTTTTAACCTTCAAAGACTCAACAAAGTACATCCACAACCACAAGTTGCTGTATCGAATTTTCACGCAATGCATACAAAGGTACATGCACCTCGAAGCTGTCATCTGCTGTTACGGGGCGTTTTTACGGCCTTAATTTTAGGCAAGTGCAGTTAACTTGTCCCTACTACTAATATTACTTCTACCTCCACTCAGGCAATCACCTACCTATTTTCCAATTTTTTACTAACCAAAATAAAAATAAAATACTGGCCCATTCATGGGGAAACACTTCACAAACCAGATCAAGTATCGTCTGTGGTCGTGGGGGCCACTGGGCCCTTTCCTGGTGGATGGCTCAGATCGATCACAACCACATTATTCTTTCGGCTTTCACATGGCAAGAAGTGTAGAGAAGATACCTAATTGAGTCAATTGACTCGATTCTCAATCAACTTGGTTTGCTCAGATTGATCATGTCGTCATTAATGTTGCAAGAAGCTATTTTAGTCCCAAACCAATTTGCCACGTGGAAGGTTCTTTGTTCAATGTTCATTCAGCCTCTTTCACTTAAAACTCACAATCACAAATTCGTAATTGATGTATTTAAATTAATTGTACATTCGAAACTCCCTTGATATATGTGATAAATGGAATTACTGATGGATTGACCCAACCTACCTTGTTTGTATAAATCAGTCCTACCAATTCCATCCATGTTAATATTTAACGGAGGGCCCTGCTTTGCAGGGGTTGGAATGGAACCGTCTAACCGTTGACTTCGTTTCTAGCAAAAAATCGTTGAATCGGTCAATGATGCATTGACCCAGCGTGGTCAAACCATTGACCTGTTCAATGGCTTTTGGTCATTTTTTTTTTTTTTTTTAATTTTTGTTGTTAGAATGGGCCATCATTTTGAACCAAATAATCGAACTGTCACCCCGAAAACCGGTGGGCAGAATAGTTCCGTTTTCAGGTCATATGAACCACACGCTCGAATGGCATAACACGCATGGTACTGCTTAATGGACCTCACACACTCAATTTTTTGCCTGTAATTTTTTTTGTTAGAATGGGTCATCCGTTTTTTTTTTTTTTTTTAATTGGGAATCGTTAACCTGTTGACCCGTTCAATGGTTTTTTCTGTTTTTTATTTTTTATTTTAATTTTTGTTGCCAAAACGGGCTGTCCGTTCGAATTGGACAGTCGAACCGTCAACCAAAAAACCGGTGGCCAGAACGGTTCCATTTTCGGGTCGTATGAGTCACACACTCGAATGATATAACACGTATGATACTGCTTAATGGACCTCACACACTCAATTTTTTGTCTGTATCTTTTGTTGTTAGAATGGGTCATCCGTTAGAACGGGCCGTCCGTTCGAACTAGACGGTCAAATCGTTGACCCAAAAACCAGTGGCCAGAACGGTTTCTTTTTCGGATCGTATGAGTCACACACTCGAATGACATAACACGTATGATACTACTTAATGGACCTCACAAACTCATTTTTTTTGCCTATAAATTTTGTTGTCAAAACGGACCATCCGTTCAAGCCGGATGATCGAACTGTCGACCCAAAGTTCGGTGGCTAGAACGGTTCCATAATTTTTTGCTTATAATTTTTGTTGTCAGAACGGGCCATCCATTCGAACCGGATAGTTGAACCGTTGGTTGTCAGAACGTTATTAACAACATTTATCAATAATAGTAAGTAATTATACTATTCAATTAAATAATCATTAATGATAGTTTTAATAATATAATTTAGTTATTTTTAATATAACAGTAAATATTAAATTTATGAATAGGATTTATTAACAATATTCATTAAATTAATAATTACCAAAATTAAATTAAATTAACAGTATTTTTCAGTAATAGTCATAGTTAGTAATTTTAATATTTTATTAAATAATCAATAACAATACATTTAATAACATTTTAATTATTTTTAATATAACAATAATTACTAAATTTATCAACAGTATTTAATAATAATAATAATATTTATAATTTTAATTTAAAGTAAAATTAAAATAAGTATATATTTATTAACAATATTTATAATAAGAGTAATTATTAATTATAATCACTAATTATATATTTATTAAACTACTGTAATAATGAATAATTATTAAAATAAATAGATATATTTATTAAATTACTATAATAATCAGTAATTACTGTTATTTATATGACAGCAATTATTGGATTGCTATCACGTAAGAATCTATTGGCACGAATAGATTCCATTTCCTAGACGGAGAAAGCACCTATATATATATATATACCTTGTGGTTACCACATTGATGTACTTTATCTTTATATCTTTCGGCAATTTGAATGGACAAATGAAAATGGGCTATTTAATTTGCACCACCTCACCTCGTATCAAAATTCAAAAGTGAACTCTTTTGCATGTGTAAGGAGATCTTATTAGGTGGGCCCACCAAATTCATTTCTTTGCTACGATATTGGAAACGTAGGAAGCTGCTGGCTGTTTGTTTCAGTGGAGATATAATAAATATGGATTAGTAACGTAGCAAGTTTTCCCTCCTAGTGAGCTATTAGTCACCTATATATTATCAAACTTTTCCAACTTTGTTGAAATTTCCGATTTCCATTTTATAAAGTAAGGGGAAAGGTGTTGAGCTAGTAGTCTACTACAGGTTGTGAACAAACCACGAAACACTTTCAGATGTAAACAGCGCAAGAAAATTAGAAAGAAGAAACACCTACTACCAGAATATCTTCCCAATAAACATCATGGTACGTAGCAGATGAACAGATACGATACGAACTCGGGACTTTCCCTTGCTTAATTAAGTTGTTCTTAAGAAATTTCAATTCCTGAATGATAAATCTATAATGGGTAGCAGCAGTCGATCGACACATATAGATAAATGAGTTGAGATGCTGCCCCATTGCGTTGGATGGATGATGTACATCATAATCCCTTGGGAGTTGGGACTCGGGGGAGCCAATTAGGAGACAAGTCTCACTTTAGCAAGAGAATTTGTTTAATTGAAATAGCTAGGTTAGTTTAATTACCAACACTCCGTCTTGATGTTTTGGCATCCAAGTATATCCTCTAAGCATATATAGTTTTCTCAAATTCTTCAATTGGCCTATAAATTCTTGGGATGGTACTAACTTACATTTGCAACACACAGAGAAGCGAGAGCCCAGGTTGATTAATGCTAGCTGTTTGATTAGCAGAGACAAAGACTTCCACGTTTACATGATCTGGTCTGACGACCAAAGTGACCATGAAAACGAAGCGGACGCAAACGTAACACCTCATCATCAATCTGGATTCTGGATTCTGGATTCAGTCAGTCTCTGTTCCCTGAGCCAAAAAAACACAAGGATGTTCCTGGACAGACCGACAAAACATGCGTCTGCTCGGCTAACAGGATGAGATTATTGGTTCTAGAAATCTGGGATGATCAACACCCAGCTTTCATTAATCCCATGGATCCTGGTCTCTGCTTTGGAGACACACCCATGTGCCAACAAACCAGACTTCATCACTTGGCTTCAGTAGGACGCTGTTGTTGATCTCTGCAATATCTCCATGCTCAACCCCCCTGAACTCACCATCTCCCAAGTCCTAACAAATCGTATCTACAGACTACAGACTACAGACTACAAAGTAAGCAGTACTCGTGCAAGGCAAAGCCTTCCTTCAGGTCAGGCGTGGCTGATGGCTCGAGGTAAAAATTCTGCCCACGTGTAACTCCGCTCACAAAACTCGAAATCCCCGTCGCCTCGTCCTTTTCCACAAAATTGGGCCCCACGGGAGCTTCCTTGCATCCGGACCGTCCCCCATACTTTTTTATTCTTTCGACGACTTTTCAACAACGAGGACCCCCAACGGTGATTACGCAATACGCACTAATAAAAAGAAAAAGCTGACGAACTCTCGTCGAAGCACATGCATCGACTACTGTGTGCACGTCTCTAGCGTTTCTTGATTTCTGTATATAAAGAGAGAGAGGGATATGTGTGCAAACAACAGAGAGAGAGAGAGAGAGAGAGTGAGAGAAAGGATGAAGAGCCGATTGTAGGGAAAAGAAGTAAAACGATCTGAGCTCAGAGAAGCAAGATAGTCGGGAGGAAGGAGATCATCAAAAGAAATAAGATATGGGTTTGTCCGAAGCTCAGGCACGGTGCAAGAAGCACCCCAAGCACAGGCAGTCACCTGGTGTATGTTCGTCTTGTCTAAGAGAGAGACTCTCTCAGCTCTCCTCTGCTACTTCGCGCAGAACAACTGCAGCTTCGTCTTGCTCTTCTTCTTTATCTTCTTCGCCTTACTCTTCTGATTCTTCTTCCTGTTCTTCTCCACTTAGCCAACCAAATGCTTCGCAAGTGAAAGGTCCGGTATGTTTCCTGAAAAGTGGTAATGATGGGCTCATGAGGAGCAGATCGATTGCGTTTGTTACTCGAAACCGAATTGCAGCAGAGATTACGGACGAGAAGAAGAAAGGTGGGTTCTGGTCCAAGCTGCTTCGTTCGACTTCGACCAGTAAGAGAACGAAGGGCGCGATGATGCACTCCAGGACGGTGAGGGAGAGAGCCAATAACGTTGTTTATTAAAACGAAGATCGTGTTGTATTAATATTTTGCTCTCTTTCTCTCTTTCTGTCTCTTCATAAAAATAATATCATCTAAGTTCGTCTGGTTTTACATTCTTTCTACAAGAAGAAAGAGAAACAGAACAAACCCAAAAAGGAAAAACTTGTCATTTTGGTGTATAGGTTTCTTTATTAAGACTGATCGAATTCATTAGCAACATACAGAGATATCAAATGAACAAACACTTTCGCCTTCTTCTTCTTCTTCTTCTTCTTCTTCTTCTTACGTCTGAACTTAAACTGATCAAAGACAGTAATCTAATATAAATCAAGCAAGCGCAATGTCTAGAACATGGTGGGCAATGACATCACTCAACCCAAGCCCAAAATCCCAGCAGCTGAGAAACCAAAGGCAGGCCGGCCGATTGGTAGACTTCTTCAACAGATATCCTTTCGAGGCAGGTCCTTCCATGAACGTGTGTACATTGACCAAATCCCAACCATATTAATTAAGAAAGGAAAAGGCACCTCCTGTTTCGGTCTCGGAGTCTTAAGCCGTCGAATATTGACCTAGGAAGCAATTTTATTGCGTCAACGGATGGTGACTGGCGAGGAACTCTTGGGCAAAGACCAGACTCCAGAGGTTTTGATGAAAATTGATTAAAACACCGACTCAGAAAATTACAAAATTGCTTCTATTTATTTGATTTACCAAACAAAAAATGTCAAGCAAGTTAAGGGAGAAAACTTAAAAGGCCGTTTGGTAACGGTTGAATGGCCTAACTGGTCAGGCCTTTTGCCTTGATAGCTTAATCTTACAATTCATACTCGTAAGCAATTCAGTCGTTATCAAACGGCCCCTTAGCCAAACAGAGTTTGTTCCGTAGATCCAATATCCATTAGAGTTTCAGTTGATCTTGCCTATGACGACCAATGTTGTTTTACAAATTCTTTGCTTCTAATTTCTTATGGGGCTGCAAACGATATTTCCAACCCTAAATTTCTTTGACAACATTTATCTTCTTAGCGTAAACAAGTACAGAACTTGACATTATATGAAGATTGGTTCACCTTCTCAGTCACAAAAAGGAATCTTCCCTCTTAAAAAACTTGTCCATAAAATAAAATCGAGGGATAAATGAGCCTTCAACAGTAATACTTTCCAATATGCAACTTTTTTTTTTTAATACAAAAGTAAAATTAGCATCAGCGGAGAATCGCTCTGCCCGCTGCATCAAGAAAAACTAGAAATTTCAAATCCCAGGGGAAATTCGTAGTCAAGATGATGATATCTTCGTGCTCCTCTCCTCTGTTAGCCAGCCAATCTGCAACTGCATTTCATTCTCTTTGTGGGTATGCCTGTATGTAATTCTTGCTGTGGTTTTCTGAGCCAGCCGCTTGAACTCCTCAACTAAAGAGAGACATTTCCATGGGATCTTCGAGTCACCTTGGAGGGTGCTGATGACTAGGAGGGAATCAAATTCAATGATGATGGATTGGTTGTGAACCTGCAAAGCTAGTTTATGGGCCTTGAGGGAGGGCCGCAATTGAGATTGTTGTGTTGCCAATTTAATTTGTTGCTAACTTAGCTTTTAGTTTATTGCCTTTAAAGAAGTCTATCATGATGTACAAAGGCACACCTGCCATCAATCAAAATTTATTTATATACTCTGCAGGTGGAGGGATCCATCTTATACAATTCAGTTACATCGGTGGGTTCAAACTCTGATTGATTAGAGGCTTGTCTGCTTAGAATGACCGATCAGTTCAAGGGTCAAAATTTGTAGGTTAAAAGTACTGTCGGTGCTAGTTCGGAATTGATGGCAATTCACAGGCGGGCGTTGATGAATAAAGTGTGGGTTGTGGTTCTTTTGAATGCTTATAACTCTATAGTGTAAATAAAAAATCTGCATTGGACAAATCCGTATTTCTCCATATTTTGCATAGGTCCAGAAGGATCTGAGGTTTTTTTTTTTTTCAGAGTGAAAATGACTTTTTCCCAATCTTAACTGAAACCAAAACTACTACTTTTGGTCTTTTGCTGGTGGTATGCATTTTGGACATTCAGTCATTCAGACATGGCGTCCCTTTAATCGAAGAATTGCAATTGTGAATTTGCCCAGACGCTTACGGTTCAAGAGCCCGCCAGTCTACAAGATTACAAGTCCGGGGCTTGTAATAAGTTTCAGGATTAAAATTCTGCCACTAAGGCTGTGTTTGGTTGCATTATAAATTTTATTTGCATCGGTGTAAATGCATAGGAGCACAGGACTGCAAATTTTGATTCATTCTTTATTCAGATTTGACTTTATAATTTACTGTGAAAAGTAAAACAACTAAACAAGGTAATCTCCGCTTTAAATGAAAGAGAATGTATGTTAGAGGATTAACAGTAAGGCAACATGCAAGATGATATAATCCAAACTTTGTATGAAAAAATTGAGGTAGAAGGAAGGTGGTGCAAGATTTGCTGTAAAATTTGCATTGTTAATACGTGCAAAAGAAAAAAAAAAGTGCAACTTTTGTAGGGTTTCAATTATAATTCCAGGACATAACACCAGAAAAAACTTACAACCAACTAACCAGTATCATAAAAGAGGTAACCAATCAGGTGGTATTCATCAAAATTCATGGACTGCTACAAGGTTCAAGGTATCGGAAACGCTATGCGTATTGGAAAGGCAAATTTAAGAGACATATCGGGATACACTTTGGATACGCATGAATACGGATGAAAAATTAAGATACACATGGAAACACATGAAAATGCTATAAATACTCTAATAAATCATAAATAAACATTAATGCATAAAAATAACATGTTTTAGTGGGTTTTATGAAAAAAACATGTTATAATCAATAAACAGGAAGTTTGGAATAGAAACATACTATCTAATTGTGGACATTATAGATAAAGTAATTATCTTGCATGTTTTATTCTAATTTTTTAAAAACTAAATAGTTATTTATTTTTATTCAAATAATTATTTTACATGTTTTATTCTAAAAATTAAATTAAAATTAAGAAAAGTAAATACGTAACAAAAAATTGAATGGATTTATGGACATAATAGATGAAATAATTATTTTACACATTTTATTTTAAAAATTAAAAAAATAAATAAATATCAATGTTTTAAAACATAGAGGCATTCCACTACCTAGAGGCGTGAAGAAGCATAGTTCAGAATGCAAGAAGCATAAGCCTCTCGAACACAAGGAGGTGAAAGCTTCCTTAAGAAGAGGAAGGAGGAAGGGGGATTTCATTTTTTTTCTTTATCTTTAATAAAAATCTTTTACAATAAGAACAATAAAAATGCATAACAGTTGTTAACAGGGGGTTCTTGTCGAAGGGGAGCAAGACCCCCCTAACTCAAAAATATAAATTGAGCTGCATCGAAAAGGGGGACGGGGGTCTAGGGGGCAAAGCCCCCCAGTCAAAGGGGCAGGGGGCAAACCATTTTCTTTCCCCTAATCTTTTCTAGCATTGACTGAAAATGTAAAAGAAATTTGAAAATACATATTTATTTTCGCTCATTTTTTCACAACCTTGAAAAACCTATTGAATCTTGCAAATTTATAGATGTTTTGACAAATTTGTACGAAAATTGAGTCTTTAGAAAGGTTAAAAAGCTTTTTAAAGGGTTTAGGAAAGAAAGAAGACTTCTAAAATAGGTTTAGAAGTCCTCTTTCGAAGGGAGTTTTATTTGCGATTCTGCCACAATAAAATTGTATTGTATCGATCAATACGACTAATACAGTGCCAAAACGCACCGATACTCAACAATACGACATCGATACAACGAATAGATACAGCACATTCAATTTGGTACCATATACTGTGCCGAAAACTTGTCGGAACAATATGTATCGACCAATAGATGACGAAATTTTGAACCTTGGGCTGCTGGTCAAAGCTCTTCGAGTACCATTCCTTTCTGGTATCATAGATTTTCCTTTGTAATACAAATCATAATTACAAACAAATGAAATTAAAAATTGAACTAGTACAAATTTTGCACCCAGTCAAGATTTGCACTCCAACCAAATGCAGGCTAACGAATTCAATCTCCTTTGCGTGTGATTAGGGAGCAACAAAAGGCTGTAGAATATGCTTTGAAAAAACAAATCTGGAGAAAAATCTTACATTCACTCATTAACAGTATTTTAACAACGGCAAGAGACGCGAATACCAATCTTTTGTCCATCGATACAGTTAAACATCACAAAAATCCCATAAAAATATAAAACTATTGCCTCCCACCGTAAATTGTATTCCTATTTGCCTGCCATGTGTACATCTGCTCGTTATGAGTATTTGATTTGGTATAGCAGAACCTCCTCCATTGCTGCAGGAAATTCAAATTAATGCTAAAGATTTGGTGTGTTCTGAGCATCAAGCCACCAATACTTCTCTGGAACCTGTACAATTGTGGGCGAATGAAACCAAAAATGGTACCCACGTATTCAATTCTTACATCCTCATCTAATCTTCATACCTCAGAATTATAGTAATTATCTGGTGGATCCTGAAGTTTTAATGTCCATGTCATTGTCCTCATCACTACAATCCTCGTGATCTGCTGCTGGACGTTTTAATCTCTGGAATATTTCGTCCAAGGACTCCGGTGATGGATCACGGGACTCAAGTTTTGTCTCCTGAAATTGGCGTAAAGGCATGAATGTCTTGGAAACCATATTAGCTTTAAAACTTTGAAATCCCGTCTTCATTGATACCCATGTTGAGGACAATGTGGAAGATGGTGCCCCTCTTGTATTACCATCACTATGGTGGTGAGAATTGTCTGATTCAAGCAAAGATACTGTAGCAGAAGTAATGTTCTTCTCTGTTGCCTTTGTACTGGATGTTTGTCTACTTTGTTGCACTCTTATGGTAGCATACTTGCTTCCAATGGCTTCTCTGTTCATGCCATATTTCCGGATCTCTTCTTTTATGGGTTTTGATCGACTTTCCTTTTCACTGTCCATGGCCAAAGTAGTTGCTGGTTTCATTTCAATGGTAGTCTTGTCCTGAAAACCATCTCAAGTTTTAGCAGTAAAACATTGCCTTGGTTAAAGTCGAAAATGATTTAAGTGAAAGGAAAATGAAGATATCAACAACAAAAGAGAGGACTTTGATGGCCAAAAAATAAGGGCAATTGTAGATCCTGCCAACCAGTATCGTAAATTTGTGTTTATTGGTAAATTTAAAATAACATTGCATCATTGAAGGCATCTCCATGCTGCATAACAGTGTATTTATAATGCCAAAATTAGCCTTTTGAAAGTAGCTCTTGCTAAACTCATAATTCTTTCATTCCATTAGTGCATGTGCGGCCCTTAAGCACATGCACATGTATAGCTGACCCAAAATAGTTGGGGTTAAGGCTGAGTTGAGTATTACCACAAATGCCTTTTTCTTAGTAAACAAAAAAGACCAACAGTTTAGGAGTTTTACGTACTGAGCTATTGCTGCCAGACTCAACATCCACGCCATTGAAATTCCTTGCCAATGGGATTACATGCTCACCGACCTTAAGTCCTTGTTCAAGCCAAGATCTCTCTGGGGAAAAAGATTTTCATATTTTTCAGGCATAAAATATGACATTATTAGCACAGAAAAATAGAGATGCCTCAACCTTACCCAATCCAAATGATCTAGAATGTAGAACTGCATATGTACTGTATGCATGCTAACACAGAAGAAAAAGAGGTCAGGAACTATTCACCTTTTTGCAGGATGATTATTCCTGAAGCATCAAGCCCATCCAAATCATCAGCCTCAGTTTGAAACCTGAACTTTTTCCAGCTTCCAAAAAAATCAATTACCCGATCAAAAAAATTGCTCGCAACTAATAAGGTATATATAACCATAATAAGTGGATATATTTTATTAAATCCTTGCCCAAAGAAAGGGACAGCACCATCAATTTTCCCCATTCTCTGCAGATCAAGCCAGAAATTTATCAATCTCACATGTAAAAGAATCAATTTTGGAGAAAGATAAACAAATAATAGAAAAATGATGCTATTTTGAAAAATATTAATTTTAATATGCCCTAAATTAAGATATAAACATGCATTCGGTGGCTTCAGACTGGAACCAATCTTTCCCCACCCACCACCCCCAGATCTATAAAGATAACCAAAGAGAGAAATTAAAAGAAACAAAAAAAGGTCAGCTGCTGGATATATAAATTTCATGTTCTAAAGAAGAGGCTACAATGACAGCTTCTCCACAGGGTTGGGAAGAACCAAGTTTTCTTACCAGTGCCAGATGGGTTGGCAACGGATATAGGTCCTGTTTGTCAAATATCATCCCTAAATCACTCGTGGTGAACACGTACAAAAAACAGGCTGCCCTTTCCTGGGTTTCTTTAATTTGAAAAATGAAATATCAAATATTTAAAGGTGAAATCAATGCATGGAACGTGCTCACTAACATAAGACCACTATACATGGTCAATCTAAAGTCACCATAAGGTGCCAGTTGGTTGGCAAAGCCTGTGAAATACCACAAACATGGGGTCCACCAACAAACCAGGGAATTGCCGAGTCTGGCTTGCATCAGCCTGGTCCAGTTTGGAATGGTGACTGTGACAGCAAAATCCAAAAAAGGTTCAAATTTGTGGAACATAAAAAAGCTGTGAATTACACATATCTTATGTATTCACTTTCATCTAAAAGCAGTTAAAGTAACTGCTTTAACTGCAGCAGTTCCTAAAAGTAAACAAGAGTAAAGGCAAATATACATAAGATGGTGGGAGGATATGAAATTACATCAGTAGAACAGTATGGCACAAGAGTACATGAAACTTAAACTTACAGAAAGCATTTTCTATGCATTACCATGTCATTTACTTATTTAATTTTGTCTTCAGTTTATGCAGAGTAAAGAGGATAGCAAAAGTATGTGACATAAGGGGTAGCTTACCTTTTCAAAGATAGTTTTGGCATCCCCACCAAGATGAATGAGATTGAGAAAGTTGTAAGAAATTGGAGGTGCATATCTTGCAACCATCCTAGCAAATGTTTGAAAGAAATTTAATTATGAACCACCACTACTTGAATATAAGATCTCAACATGAACATAATCTTGTATTTATGATTTGAGAAAAACTTACGAGCAAATCATAAGCAAACTGACTGAGCTTGTCTGTCTTGGTGTCAATGAGTAAAACATCAGCATTCCAATTTTGAACAAGGAATAATATGTGCATATACACATGTACATCAGAGGAATGAAAGCAGATATCTGTAAAGAAACCAAGGAATTAATTATCAATCTAAAGCAGAAAAATCCAGACAAAGAAGTCAGATGGTGAGAAGCTCAGAAGAACCGTCCAAATTAGAACAGCAAATCAAAAAGAAAAGGTTGGCATATTTGCAAAAGATCTATGTACTAAAAGCTATTTATTTAAAAGTATTCCTAAACTAACAATATATATTTTTTTGATATCTTCTGAAGGGCTACATAATGGGGGGTAGCCCATCCCCGACCCATAATCCCCTCCCCCCCCCCAAACTAGGTGCAGGCGGGATTTGATCCCAAGTCTCCGCTATGACCAGCAGGAGACCTTACCAACCAGCTGATTGGCACCTTGCCATTCCTAAACTAACAATATTATTAAAAAAAAAAAAACAGTCCTGTAACCCAAGTATGGAAACATGTATCAGTGCTAGACCTGGAATGTGAAGTGCCAAAAAAGTAGGAAAACAAATCACTTTTCACCCAACAAAGCAAAATAAATAAAAACAATACTGAATGTTCATACAATTCATTTCATGTGGTATGCGATATCTTCTAACATAAATCAGTTCCGTGTCAGAAAGAATGTATTCAAAAAGTTTATATAATATTTTTTGCTAGGAAAAAAGTTTATATAATATGTGTCTGCTTAAAAGGCAGCTAAAAAGGCATTACAAGGAGAAAATGTAATACACCTAAGGTAAAACTTGAAATAACAGAAAGATTTCAAGCTCAAAGAATTTCAAAATTTACCTGCACAAGCACCTCTTGCTCTCTGACAGCATTTATGAGAATGGAGAAAAGAGACAAATCAACTGCACTTGGCAGTATAGTAGCTTCTGCTAAAAGAATTGCAGCTGACATGCAACCAAGTACGATAGCCAACAGTTTTTCAAGTTGTTTCCTAAGTATACATCGCCAGACTAACTCTGCAAGATCAGCCAATTACATCAGAATCCACCATATGTCAATGCACCCAATACCAAAAATTGAGTATCAGTGCATATTGATGAGACCGAAACTCTTTTTTTTTTACTTTTTTTATTTTGATTTATCAGCCTGAGAGGGATGCCTTCTATTATCCCAAACTTTCAAAACCCTAGACCTGTGTGTATCGGTGTATACATGAGTGTCCATGGCCTTGGATATGGATACAATACACCCGATATGGGGCATATCATATCAGCATATTGATCCTAGGCAGAAATGCTCATCAAAATTGAGCCTCCATACTTTCAATAAGAATTGAATCCACCATGCACAAATAAGGAAACTGACACACAAACAGATATAGGAAACAGCAAAAGAATATTCTATTCCAAAAATCTCAGACATTTATACAGGCATGGCATCTTAAATACCAATGTTTACATGAAGCTTCTTCATCTAGTTTTTGAAGCTAATGTCATCTCTCAATACTTCTGTCTTGTCAAATTTAATTAAATTTCTAAAATACAAACATTTTTTTTTAGTGCGGTTTGTTAAAGCATATTATTTTGCATATTTTAGAGGTACTAATGCCATACAGTATATCTAGAAATGTCCATGCAGTATGTTCAACACATTATTTTGAAGCTTCTAGTGTATTGGGCAAATATAATATCTATCACCAGTACACTAAGCATATAAAGGCACCTAGGTATCACAGTGGAATGATAGAGAATTATGTTCAACCACCTTAAATTATTTATCACTTCAAACAAACATCTAAACAGGTAACCGTTAGCTTAGGTGTCACAATGTTCCAATCATGTTTTACAATAACAGTATCTAAACTAATCAAATAATTTACAGATTGAATAGTTACCTATCATATCAAAAGGGGAACCTAGTTTGCCTGTTCGACTAGGTCTGAAGCTTGACACATATTTCCTGCAGAGATTTTCAAGAATTTACAGTCAATGAAATATGAATGCAAGGGACAAAGAAGCATCATAATTTTCTCCTAAGAAGTGCACTTTAAGTTCAATACTAATGAGATTATTCTAGATCCATTAGGATTGTAAAGTTGCCCATGATTTTTTGTAGGAAAAAAGAAAAGACAATCTTCTAATGGAGAAATTTGTTTCCAATCAATTAACATACCTCTGATTATGATAATATACCCTTATTTTTCCCTTTCCCTGATTTCACAGAAGGCTTAGTGACCACAAACAAGAAGACCAAGAAAAACCAAAAATAGAAGGGAAAGGAGGAGGTTAATTCAAGCTTCTATATAAATCTTTCTTATGGAGAAAACATAGAAGCTAAAACAAATATAGAGTGGTGTCCCATGTCCGAACATTCTTATTTAAATATAGTTTTAATAATCCATGGATTGACGGATAACATGAAAAAGTAGGTAATCTGGAATCAAGATAATATGGAGGTAGTGGAGGATTATGACAGGATATTGTGGGGTGGGAGTCGAGTGGTATAATTGTGAACAAAATAACCAGGACTAATTTTAGGGACAGACTCTAGATGTTAGGAACCTGCCTAACTCAGGGCTCTTCGAGGGAGCCAACCTCCTGAACTCATTGGAAGGGAAGGGAAGAAGGAGAGTGAGAGAGAGAGATTAATGCCGAAAGATTCATGTCTTATTTCTCTTTGTGCTTCACTACTTAATACTGTTTACATTCTTTGATTCCTTTCTGTTACAGCTGTTGAAAGTGGACGATTAGTTGTGCTGACGTGGCCTCCTCTTGTAAAACTGATTAACTGCTTTCTGTTGGTCTGTTCCAGCAGTCTTTACAATCCCTCCCTCCTTTAAAGCGACCTTGCCCTCAAGGTCTAATGTGGGAAAGTTTGATTGCAGATCCAAGTAGGATTCCCAGGTTGCATCCTCTTCTGGGAGTTTAGACCAAACAATTAATGCTTCTGGTATGACTCTTCCGCCACGGCGCACCCATCTGAAATCAATGATGCGGGCTGGCTCAGTCTGCACTTGCCCTTCATCTGAAAATGTGGGAAGGGTCACCACTTGTAATGACTCCTGGCTTCGGCACTTTCTTCAGTAAGGAGATATGGAATACAGGGTGCAATTTTAATGTTGCCGGAAGGTCCAGCTTGTATGCCACTGGCCCTATCCTCTCAAGGATTTTAATGGTCCAAAATAGCGCGGGCTGAGTTTGTTCCACTGTCGGCTTGCAACTGAAATCTGTTTGAAAGGTTGCAATTTGAGAAACACCCAATCACCGACTTCATATTGGACATTCTTGTGATGTTTATCATAGGTGCACTTCATCCGTTGCTGTGCTGTAAGAGATGATTTCTCAGTTCCTTTAACACCTCATCTTATTGTTTCAGCTGTTCTTCTAAGACCGCTACTGTGGTGGTCCCTTTTTCATAAGGAAGTAGAGGGGGAGGATCCCGACCATATAGAGCTCTGAAGGGTGTCATCCCAGCAGCGCTATGGAAGGTGGTGTTGTACCACCATTCAGCCCAGTGGATCCACTTCACCAATTGTCTTAGTCGATCTCCCGCGAAGCATCTCCGATATGTTTCGAGACTCTTGTTAACCACCTCCATCTGTCCATCAGATTGGGGGTGGTAGCTAGTTGACATTAAGAGTTTAACCCCGTGCAGATGAAAAAGTTCAGCCCAGAAATGGCTCATAAAAATAGGGTCCCTGTCTGACACAATTGAGCTGGGGAGCCCATGCAGGCGCACAATTTCCCGGAGGAACAATTCAGCAACTGTGACTGCAGTAAATGGGTGTGATAGGGGTAGGAAATGACTATATTTCGTCAATCTATCCACTACCACAAGGATAACTGTTTTGCCGGCAGAAACCGGCAATCCCGTGACGAAATCCTTTGGTATATCATCCCAGACTTAGGTTGGTATTGGGAGTTATTGCAAGAGGCCTGCTGGTGTTGTAGTGGCTGACTTGTATTGTTGGCATACTGCACAACCGGCTATGAAGTTCTGAATGGATGTGCGCATGCCTTTCCAATGGAATTGTGCGGTGATGCGTTTTTGTGTTCGTAGGATGCCGGAGTGGTGATGGAGGCCCATCACAAGGCCCATCTCATCCCTAGGGGCGGCAGCTCCTAGGATAAGGATAAGTTAACTAAGATCCAAGAATTCAAGATAAGCAAGGGATCCAAGAATTCAAGATTAGCAAGA